CTACCACCTCGTCTCGAATGTTACCACTTCTAAACTACGGCAAATTTTTTTTAAAATATTTTTTTTTAAAAATCTTTTTCTTCCTCCTTCTTTTTTCCTTCCTTCTTCGCCCCATTCTTACTCGATCTAATCCCACTATCAGATCATCGTTCCTTCTGCTTCTTTCTATTGTCTTCGTCTTTTCTTTCCTTTTTCAATCAACCACTACGACCGTCATACGGACGAGGTTCCGTCACGCGGTGTTGAGTTAAGGCGTATATGACTTAATTGGACCGAAACGTCTTATCTTATTTAGGCTTCCAGGGTCGACCTCTTTGCTACAGCCTGCTTACTATGGGATGAGATTATTATGGGGTACCAGAAGTACTGACTTATTTGCCTCACCTCGAACGATCATTGTTCTATACTGGCATGCTTCTAGCCATTGATACAGCTTACAGTATTCCTGAGTTCTGAGCTCACTGTATTCGCGTAATCTTATACAAACGTCCAGTTGGATCTCCTCATCTTACTGGTGATGCTATTAGTGAGAATTTAGTTTAACATTATATATTCGAACATGTGTCGCTGGAAAAGATTAGCAGCGCGTCAGTGACGGAAACGCCTTATCGAGGAATCAAGGGACTATACTGGAAGTAACTTCAACATTTTTTTCAGAGTAAAAGAGTATAACAAAGAGGTTTCGTTGAATATTAGTCAAAAGAGTAAACATTATGTTTTTGATGTTTTTGACATGTAATTTATTGTTGAATTTCGAGTTATTGACTATGTTAATATTTGGTTTATTTAATAATACAGAGGAAATTTGTAATTGCCGACAACCGGTAAAATCGCGCATTAGTGAGTGTGGTAGCTGCGAGAAAGTGAACGACCACACGGGGATCTCCGAGGAGATAGCGCACATAAGTGTCGTAGAAATTTTAGAGATACAAACAACGAATATCCCTGGCTAGGAGACTGAAAAAGGACGGCAGCCTGAAATCGTTTATGTATTAACATATGCAGTTTGTTTGGCATTGCTGGCCCACCAGTGCGAAGAGGAGTAGAGTCGAATGTTGGGAACATTTTCTGAAAGTTTCAGCCTCCCAGCTTCCCTGGTTAGCCATTTTCACGCCAGGAACCCTCACGGGGCCGTACACGGGAAACGCGCAAACCTAGGGGCTGATTTTAAAATCTCTGAATTCTATATGGACGGGGAACATAATCCCAGAATTTCAGCTTTCTAC